TAATAATAAAATTGTTGAAATATCTGTCGTGGTGTTAAGGGGCTAATCCCTCTAATTATTAGTGCAAATGAGGTTTCATTTGTAAAAATTGTTATTGTTTTTTCAGAATCCAGAAAGATGTGCTGCACTACCTGATGAAGTTTTGAATAAGCGTCTACTTCCAGCAATATGTGCGGTAAATTTGTTTCATAATTAACTCTTTACACCCAGGCATCAATTTGTATGTTTTCCATACTGCTCCTTCCATATTCCCATCAGTCATGATATACTTTTTTAACTGTCAACATTCTGTATTTTGTTTGTTTTTTTTTTGTTTTAGTTCATAACACAGTCTTATGGATTCCCTCTGGAAGCTGAACAGAAAATTCTAGCTGGTAAAGTACTCTCCCACATCAGTGTGCACCACTTCTCTGCCCTCTTTAATCGCATTGCAATCAGGTAAAATTAATACAAATAAGTGAATCTAATGAAATTATTTCTTGTTACTTATATGCTTGGTTATGCTTGAAGCTGTGTATATATGCTTCATAATTTAATGACAGCAAATTTTGTGTCACAGGAAAAAAAATGGTATACTGCCATTGTGGCAACAACAGAGTCACAAAAATTTCTTTGATGTTCAAAACTAAGGAAATTATAGTGGAGTTTCATGAATCTATTTAACAGTATTGTGTCATCTTTTTGTAATCTTTTTGTTCAAAATAGCTTTTAGTTTTCCACAGATGTTGTCTTTGTCTCATTCTGTAAAAGTGCAATAAAATGACTTTTTGCATATCCTGCCATGTGATCCCATGCCTGTTCAATAATGCACAGTGATCATTGCTTTGTATTGCATTCCTTAAACTGTACAATGCAGGACAGAGAGTTAGCTAAAAGTTGTAACTTTGTGCATTGTAGTCTTATTGATATGTTATGATGCCTTTTGTGATCTGTCACTGTGGTGAAGACACAAAAGGCTTCATTTTATGTCAGAAAGAAACTGCTTTTTGATAACTCATTGCCAAGAACGTGTCAGAATGTGCACACATCTTAGTATACTGTCTGATACATTTTCTGTACAATATTGGAATTTATCTTGTTGTAAATCCTTTCTTTGTTTTGAATTAAGTTGATGCTGAAGTACATGTATATGTTGTTTCTTATAGACTCCATGTGCTTGCCAACACTGAAGATAATTCTGATACTGGTGAACTGGAATTGATTCGACATTTACATGTGAATGTGTCTTCTCTTAAAATTCTGTTGCAAGGTACAATTTTTGATATGAATGTACATGTATTTGAAAACATGATCTTTAGAGAGTTTTGTCTGTGTCACTGTTGTAAATCTGCCAACTTGTTCTTGGTCTAATTTGCCTTTTCAGAAAGCAATCAGGTATTCAGATCCTTGAAGAAGATTGGTCAGCTAGCTTTAGTCTCTGGATTGGAAAAGGTAGGTGTATTTCTATTATGGAGGAAAGACATTAAAATGAGATTAGAATTTTTCTTAATGCCTTAATTGAGATGGTTACATTTCTTTTTCTAGGCAATATGGAATTGGGTTGAGAACAGTCCAGATGAATTTGCACAGCTACAGAGAGAACCATCACCAGAACTTTCAGGTGAATTTAATTTCTGTTAGAAACCTCTTACTGAAAAAGGAATGTGAAAAGTGTTATTTATATTTGCCCATTTGAGGGCAATGATTGTACCTATGATTTGTGTCTATGAATTCTCTTTCCCTTTTTTGGTTGCATTCAAACTTCTTGTTCATAATTCTATTCTTTTTTAACTACTACCTAAAGGTTTTGTAACATCTTTTTATATTGCCTGCATGGGCAATCAAATTTTGCACTCTCAAACTTGAGGCAAATATTTGTAGTATCCAAAATGATACAAATTATCTGCACAAGGTGTGAATCAGGGTTACCATTTGCTGTGCTGCAAAATGTGGCATATGTGAATAAACAAAATAGTAGTGTGCACCACCAGTAATTGAAAGCTGTAGGTAAATAATTGGTAAGAAGATTGACCAAAGAATTGAAAAATATATTTTTTTTAATTTGTTGCAGAGTATGCAGAGAAGCTGTTTGACATGGTAGATAATTTTGCAGAGAGTTCAAAGAGAAAAGCTGCGGTGTGGCCCCTCCAAATTATGCTGCTTATTTTATGCCCAGTAAGACTTTACAACCGTACTGTAAATATAATTGTTTCTTACTGTTAGTAACAGTTATTTTCAACAAATATCTGGTTTGTGCATCATCCTTGCCAGAGCCACACACACACAAAAAAAAAACTTGCAAAGGTTTTCCATTTAATTTAAAATGCTCTACTTCCAAGCTGTAGATGCAGTATTTTCTTGAAAGTTATAGAAAAAATTCAATGAGTAGTAAAGCATGCTAAGACTTTTGCCAGTCATTGTAGTCGAAATACAGTCTTTTAAATGATAGCATTTGCCCTTCATGCAGATAATAATGGCAAAGTTTTCTTTTAACAGGACATGCTGGAACAAATAGCCACAAGTGAAAAAGTATTTGATGTCAGCAAAGCTAATAAGGTAGGTTCCATTACTCTCTGATTCTCGAAAGACATACTTTAGCCCTTTGACCCGTAAGAGTAACAAGCATCAAATTTCTCTTTAGAATATCACCCCTGAATCGAAATTAAGGTCACAAGAATAAAGGAAATGATCATTACATTAAGAAAATCTTGGTTTTTTAGTAAATTCTCCTCGTTAGCACCATAGGAAATGTATAGAGAACAGTGTGGAGAATATCCATACTGATGTTAGGTGTGAAGGATCAAAAGACTTTATATAGCCATGACTTGTTTAGCACCCTATTACAATTGTCACTTCTTGCAACTTCAGCTTCCTGCATACAAAATGTTAAGTTGGTGTTGTCGTTATATAAATGTTGTTCACATGATTCCCTGACTGTGAAAAAAATTTATCATCTAGACCTGGCTTGGGTTATCACTTTGTTGCAACAGCAAGGCACTTGTATTAGTTACTTTGAAATTGCAGTACCTCTCTCCACCTAATGAACTAAAAAACTGGAAACCTAGAGAAATGCTGGGTATAAACAGTGGAGGGATAGCATCTCATCTTGAAAGGGTTTCAATATCCTTGCTGAATTTAATACAAAGCTTTTGCAGCCATGTTTCTCCTTCTTTTGTGTACAATTTTACCTGTCTAACACTCATACCAGCTGGATCTCTTATCATCAGTTTGAATTAGCCACGACCATTTTGTTTTGTTTTGTTTTGTTTATTTTGTTGTGTCATTAGAAAGAGTTTCTTGATCATCTGAAGAAGGCCTTGAATAGTACCAAACACCTGACAGAAAGTGCAGCAGTGGTGTGCGTGAAACTTTGCAAGGTTGCAACGTACATGAAGCCTGAAGATAACTCTGTCTTGTGCTTCCTTGTTGTCTCCATGCTCAATGAGTTGAAGGTACAGTATGAACTGTTTTCTTGCTGGGATGGTGGTTTGACTAATGGTTGTGTATTAACCCTTCTGAACACCCAGATCAAACTTGTAATTCTCCTTACTGTCAACCATACAATTCTTACAATTTTAGTTCAGAGAATTTAGTATTGGATCAATTGATTATTCCAGAATAGATATTTTTCTTTATTTTCATCACTTGCCTGGTTGATATTTTATTGATATTGTAGGGAGAAATTCTGTCTTGGTCACTCATGTGAGTTAAAGGGTTAAGTCCAAATTAAATTTTTATTCTGTGTGGAAGATGTTCAAATGTAAATGTAATTTGTGAGGTATTGGAAGGAAGAAAAATCAGAGATACTGGTAAAGAATTGTTAACTGGAAGAATGGCAACAAACTCAAAGATAATGTTCAAGGGAAACTTGTGTAGTTCTAACTTATTGGAAAGGACCGTGTTTGAGCAACTGTGATTGTTTGCCTCAGGAACCACAGAGACATTGAATGGCAAGCTAGGCTACTGTGTAACTTAACACAAGTTGACTGAATGAAATGATTTATATGATCAGCATCTCATCATAAATCAATTTATCTTAAAGTTTGTAATCCAATTAAATGGCATATAGTTGAAAAATATTTATTTCTTGAATTTTTTACATTTATTTCTCTGCAGGCATTACTTTTCAACGTGAGCAAGCCTTTTTCTGTAGGATCTGGTGGCTTTTTCACAACAGAGGAACTAATGGTTGATTGTTTTGTGTCAAGTTTCCGCATTAATTACAGAAACAACCAGCACTTTGATATCTGCCTACAGCCAAACTCTCCCATTATTTTCCATCTTGTCTATGTGAAAGGAACATATGCTATTGTTAAAGAGGTAAACAAATCCTTTCAAATAACCATGTCAAGAGTGCATTGGATAGTCAGCTATAAATACAGATATCAGTGGTGAAACTCGTCAAGCTATCAAACAGTTAAACAGCCAATACAAAACTTCTTCAAACTTGGCCTGAGATTTTTTCTGACAGTTGACAGTTTCAATAACTGGTAGACATCTTTCTCAAACATGATGGTGTTGTCATGAGGTGTTAATGAATACATGTAGCACTGATGTAGTTGAAAGTTATTTCCACTCTCAATTAATTGATGAGAGAAATGTTTTGACTTTGTGGTGAGGCTAGCAAGGCAACCCAGAGGAAGTGTCCCAAGGGTTTTGACCCTTCACTCCTGCTCCTTTTAGACCTGTGGGTTTTTTTAGTACTTGTCTGACATTAAAATTCTTGCAACATCAAGAACACATATTACTGGTCAACCAGCGGTTACTTTTTGTGTAACCTAGAATGGAGCAGAAAGGGGTGTGCTTGGGTTGGGTAAAAATAATTTTAAGACCCTTCAGCCAAAAATTCCTGGATCTGCCTCAGCTTTGGGCACACATTGTATCACAATGAAAATCTTTTGACCTCTTGATAACATCTCACATTTACATTGTACATAACTGCGTCAAATTCTCTCAATCTCCCATTTGTTTAGGTGAGGATTTGAAAACAAAGAAAAAGTCTTCTATCGCTTGGAATGAATGATATTCTAATTACTAGTTTGTGGCATTTATATAGGCTCCTTTGAGATGGTGGCCAAAAGCTGAAGTGCTTCATCCAAAAGCTTCAGCGCTAAGACATATTTTCTTGGTATGTTAAGTTGTAATCCTGTCATTTGTTCGTCTTTCTGATTTTTCTTGATATCCAATGATACATAAAGATCTTTTGGCTAAATCAGTTGTGATAAATAAGAGTTCCTCTGTCTAGTATGATCACAGAACAGCTGGAGTTTGGGCCACCTGTGGTATAATAGGAACATTCTCTGACTGTGTTCTATAAAATGTGATTTTTAAAAATATTAAGGATCCATTACAAGGATTCATAATGAACAAGGGTTTGTGATACTTATCTTTATGCATGGAAGACAGAAGACTACCTGTCTAAAAAAATCTGTGTGCATGAGAGCATATTTGCTTAACATTGGGTTCAATTCTGTGTTTTTTATCATTTCAGAATATTTGTAACAAGGTTCAAAATGGTGAACAAGAGGGACAACAGTCAAGATTGAGTCAGGTGGATATGAAGAACTTAACCCTTTAACTCCAGAAGGGATTAACTAGTAACTTCTCCCAATGATGTTTAAACATTATCCAGCAAACAGGTCTTGAGAATATTCAAACTTATCAGGTTGAAGTTGTTGTCTCAATCTGACACCAAACTCTGGTAACTTATTTACAAGGAAATGCATAGCACCTAGAGGAGAGAATTAACAATCAGATCTTGGGTGTTAAAGGGTTGATTCATTAATCAGTCAGTCAATCAGACAGACAGAGAGATAGACAGCTGGTAACCAGGGGTATAGGTGGAATTCTTTTGTAAAGGGTGGGGGCTGAACCAGTGCTACCATTTGGGTTATGAGCAGACATTTTATAATGGTACTCAGAAATTAGTATAAATTTTTTTTAAATAAAGAGAGGGGGCCACATGGATCCTAAACCCTGCTAAACCACATCCTTGGCCAGACTATTGGCAAAACAGTTAATTGACAGAGTGACAAACAGTGTGACAAACATACAAACAGGTGCCATTTGTTTGAATGGTGGATAGCACTATCCACCAGATAAATCTTCAACTGGTGGATTGTGCAGTACACCTTCTCAACATTTATCTGAGGGATAGTGATTTATCTGTTGGATAGTGTTATCTGCCCTTTTAACAACTGGGCTTAGATGGGTAGACAAACAAACTGTAAAACAGACAGTTGGGCAAACAAATAGCATTCAGCACTTAACGTCTTGAAAAACATGAGGGTTTTGACAAAGTTAGTTTTGTGTTCTAGATCTATAAAGTAAAAGACAAGAAACACAAAGAAGATGAAGTGCATTCCAACAAGAAGCAAGACAAAGAGTTATTACTATGGCTGGTGAAAATTTTTCATGCAGATCCTGTGTTTGCTTTTAATGTAAGTTTAATGTTCTGAAGTTGCCTGTTCTGGTAAAGGTAAAAAGCAAAAATTGAACTCATTTAATATATTTGACTCCATGTGAACAGAATCCTGATCTTCATGGCTGGGAGATCCAAAAGAATTCAACTCAAGTTATAATGGGTGTGGTCAATTTGATGTTAACACCTTCTCTACCTGCAGAAATAAGAAATGAGGCAGCTGAGGTATTCTTTCATTAGTTTGAAGCTTTTCCATTTGCTGTCTGTGCTTATCTAGCTATCCATTACTGTGACAAACTCCTTTTAATTGCCTCAATTTTGCACACTCAGATACTTAATGTTGAAATTTGCACTTTTTTTTTCTTTCAGACTCTTCTTTGTTTCTTTGAAGCTGATCACATAGAGATGTGGAATCCTGTAGCACCTATTGCTTCATTTTGGGAAATTAGGTTAGAAAAGACACAGAAAACTGCACAGGATACCTTCACTTGTGTGTACTAAACTAATTAAGGCACTTTTCCTGTTGCTCAAATTTTCATTAGATTATAGCAATAAATTTGTGCTGGTTTCTGCTTTTTTCAAAATATGATATAAATTAATTTAGTATAATTTGAGGTTAATCACAAAGTCTTGACTGTGTTGTAACTTTTACTGCCCTTTCTGTTTCCTCTTGTAGTTCACAAGTAATGGTGTCCATTGCTGAGTTTCTCATTGGTCATGGCAGCCATGGCACTGTTTTACTGAGATACTTAAGGGATCTAACCATGTGTAAAATTGAGTTTTTAAGGAAACACCAGGTTGGTTGAGCTCTGATTATAATTCATCATGTAGTGATTTAGAAATAGAAGATAATTTTATTAAGTGTCATGAAGCCTTAACCCTTTAACTCCCATGAGTGACTAGGACAGAATTTCTCCCTACAATATCAATACAATATCAACCAGATAAGTGATGAGAATGAAGAAAAATATCAATTTGGGGATAATTAGTTAACCCAGTAGTAAATTCTCTGAACTGACATTATGTGAATTGTATGGTTGACAGTAAGGAGAATTACAAATTTAATCTGGGAGTTAAAGGGTTAACCAAAGTAATGCAAAGAGAAACAAAAGTAAATGGAGCAAGGAGGTAAAAAAATTGCGCATGTGTGTACTGTTCAAATTGAAATTACAAAATTTGTATTACTTTTAATTTTACAGGAGCAAGCTTCCATAGGATGCCACTTGCCAATATGTACAGTTTCTCAAACTAAACTTGAGGTAGGTATTTCTCTTTTTCATATAAGGCTGAGGAAAAATGAGGTGGAAAGAGAGAGGCTCCTGATAAAGGCCTTGAGATATTTCAATTCCACAGGATTTATTTTGTGATCTGTTGAATAGAATTGGGTTGTCACTGAATCTGTTTTCCTCTCTGATAACATTAACATATTAACCCTTCAACTCCCAAAAGTGTTAAACATGTAATTTCTCCCTATAATATCTATAGATTATCCAGCCAACAGGTAATGAGAATACTCAAACTAATCAGGAAGAATTTGTTATCTTGATCTAACACCAAATTCTCATAACTTATCTTGGAGGAATTGTTTGCCAAAGAGGAGAATTAGAGAGGAGAATTAACAATCAGATCTTGGGAGTTAAATGGAAATATTACTAATTTTTTTATAATTTCTTCTCATTTTTCAGGAAGTGTTCCTTAGTTATTTATGGAATCCAGATATGGAAACTGTGTTGATCTCCCTTTCTTGTTTTGGACAAATGTGCAATGAAGTGGACATTGTACAAAGTTCAGAGACCCTCAATGTTCTGCAGACTTCTCAAAACTTAAATGTGTACAATGAATTGTCACAGGAGGCTACCAAATTTAGAGCTGGTGAGTTATGCGTAAGACCATAAATATAGGAAATCAGTGGTGCTTTAAATGGAAGAGTGTACAGAATAAAGCCTCAGGGTTGTCATTAGAAATCTAATATAAGGATGATCTGATCTGAGTTGGCAGGTAGATTGAATTGTGCTTGCATTGCAAATGTGGCATGTTGCTACATGCCATACTCAGCTACGCCCCTTCTTGAGGGTTCAGAAAAATTTGAAAATTGAAACTCTCTGAGATGTGATTTTCAGCATTCTGGGACATATTTTTGTCACTTTTTCTAGTCAGACATTGAGGTTAGAATCAATTGAGTGAGAATACTTTTTTTTCTTTCTTCGATCATAATTTGCAAAGTAGCTGGCTCAAAATAGGCTGATGTTTGGCAACTTTCCACCTCCAACCTGCTTCTAATGACAACCTAAAATGCAACTTAAACTTCTCCCTGTACAATGGACATTTCAAAGGGAAGTTCTTGGGGGTCAGAACCCTCCCCTAAGACAAGACCAATTTTTCTCCTCCACTGGTCTTACACAAAAACTCTTGCAACAAAAAGATGGTAGAATGCTACACAACACAGCTGGCTGAATTTTCCTTGTAATTTGGAGTTAAAGGGGAGAGGGGAGGTGTAGGTTGGTCAAAAAATAATGTGGGACCCCCTATCAAAAATTATAGGACAATAGGTGGAATTTTCATTTAAAATTTTGTTGAAAATTTGATGCAGTGGAAAAATGGCAAGTTGATGAAAGGTTAGGTGAGGCCATAACCTGTGATGGACTAATTAAAAGCAGTTTTTTTTGTTATTGCGTCTGACCTTAATCTGTTGTTTTTCAGGAAGAGCAGCACTGCAAAAACGGATCATGGCTTTATTACGGCAACTTGACAGCCAAACTGCAGGGAATTTTCAGGTACTGTCCAACTTGGTGAATTTTTATGCCTTTTGAATTCAGGCAAAAAACTGAATCACAATTCCCAGTTTAATGAGTAATTCGAATTTTGTTTCATTTCATTCACAGGCCTGGGAAAGTACTTACACAAAATGGCAAAAGCTAACCTTTGACCTTGTCAACTTTGGTAAAGATGATTCTCCATCAATAGATGTACAGAAATATCTTAGGCGGAGATCACATGCCAAAATCACGACTGACAACTTGCAGGTATATTTGTATACTTTTAACTTTTTAGCTACCATTAGAGACCAAGACAGAATTTATCCTTTTAATATCAATACAATATCAAGCAGACTTTTGGTTGTAATTCTGAAAAATATAAAGGGATTGTTAATAGATCCAATACCAAATTCTGTGATATACATTATAAGGATTGTAAGGCAGACAGTAAGGAGAATTACTACTGAGATCTTGGGAGTGAGAGGGTCAACAGCAATTTATGAATTGTGTAGGTACATTAACGAGCATAGGTTTCAATGACTTGAGTTGACTTCATGTTGTTGGTAGCAGCTGAGAATTGCGAAAGTTTGTCTGGTGCTACCGACATTTCAAAATTAATCCAAAAATTTCAGATGGTGATTTTCAAATGTTGTAGTTAGTGTTACAACAAGCATAACATGTGCTTCCCTTCCCTCATCCTGGATCTTTGTAAGCCCGTCTGCAACCATTAAGGTAGCAACAGATAAGCACAATAATCTCTATGGAAAACACAGCACAAAGTTATTGAGGGGAGTGGATACTTCTTAGAGAACACAAGATTTTAAAGAATTGTTTTGGTTTGTTGCAAATTGTTGTATTTTCTATTATCCTTGAACAGTTTAAGGAAAGAGAAAGAGAGTTTTGGCAAGGGCTTTTTAATGGTAATTTGTTACTTTATGTGTATTTAATCTCTAGACATCATTCATTGAATGGACATTCATGACAGGATTTCTCTGTTCACTCGGGGGAGTGTGTTTGACTTCACTACAACCAATAAGGTATCGTATTGTTACCAGTAGTTTTAAGTTTGCAAGCAAGCCAAGTGGCCTGCAATGCTCCAGCTTTTTCTGGTCTTTGTAGCAGGAAGGGACTTTAACAAATGGACAGTGGTTTAGCGTGGTTTGTACTCTTATCAATAATGATATCTGTCATCACAGTTGTTAAAATATTGTGGGTGCAGCCAAATGAGTCTGCAACAAATTTTGACCACTGTGATGATGAATATTGTTGTTGATAAGAGTACTGACCATGCTAAACCACTGTTGATTTGTAGTTTTACCATAATATTGTTGTGAATTAAATGATTCTTTCAGTGCATGACCAAGATAAAGGTATTGTGTCACATGTTGGTGCAAGCAGCATCATCTGTACTCTTATCTACAATGACAAATTGGTCAATCAGATTGCAGTATTACTGCCAGTTGTAGTTAAAAAAAATGATCCCCCCAGGATAGCATGCTAGTCCATTGCAGCTTACCCCCCCCTTCCCTCTCCCCCCCCCCATATTAATTGTTGAATGGTAATTTTCCCATCTGCTTTACAGAAGATACAGCAGAAGTCTTCCTTCATCAGTTCACTCCAAGGCTGAATCAACTGATACTGAATGTGCCACAGTAACTAAGTAAGTTATCATTTTATATGTCTTTTTGAGTTAAAGGAGATGAAATGATGCCTATTGATAAAGTGGATTCTTTTGAAAAGAAAGCATTCACTGACCTTTGTTCCACAAGTCTTTTTTTAAGTTTTAGAGGTGATAAAAAGGAGGTTTAACGATTCCAATTTTTATTATGTCCTTAGGTTTATGCAGGATGTGTTGAGTCTCCTGGTTTGCAGTAATGATAAAACTGGTTTACAGGTAGGTATGAAACTTGAGGTTATTGTATGAATTGGATACCATTAGATACAATTAAGTTTTGTAAATTAGGGTAATGAGGAACAAAGAGTTTACAGATGGGAGCTTTATTCAGTTTTATTATTTGGGCTGTGAAATCTAGTTAAGTAGGTTGAAGTTTCCTTTGAGCATATAGATTCATATAAAGGTTTGTTGTACCAGCTTAGTTACAGACATGCAAGTAGTGTGATATGTTTGTGGCTCTGCTCAATTCTTTAAATTGAGGTTGGAATATTTAATGATATGTTGCAGTCAGTAAACTTTTTCACTTGTATATTCTCTAGTTGGTGTTCACATTGTGGAAATGACTCTATTTTTAAAAGGGTCTCCATGAGGTTAATGGTTAGACGTAAAAATTAATAAATTTTTAACTGCTAGCTGTTAAAAAAAGTTAACCGTCAAAAAATTCTCAGGTGACAGCAATGGAAAGCCAGTAACCCTTCAACTCCCAAGATCTCATTTGAAATTCTCCTTACCATCAGCCAAATGATTCTCAGTATGTTAGTTTGGAGAATACGGTATTGGATCACTGATTAGTAATCTTTCTCTACAGTCATAACTTGTCTGCATGATATTGTATAGATATAGTGAGGAGAAATTCTGTCTTCATCACTCATGGGAGTTTAAGGGTTAACTGTTAGCCCTAAATTGGCCAAAATTTTAACTATTAGTTGTAAAAGTCATCACCTTATGGAGACTCTCTTTTGACGTATCCTTTTAGTTAACTAATAGCATACAGTATCTAAAATCACACTATTTGGTATTGATTAGGTTTTTTTATGTTGACTTCAGATACGTAGTACAGTCAATGAGCTGGTTGGAGTGGAGCTTAGTCCAAAGCTTTATCCCATTTTACTGACGCAGATCATGACAGTAGTTAACAGCTTCTTCACACCATCTGGGCAGGTTAGTCCTTTGCTATCATTGTTGAAGGTGACTAGTGAAAGTTGATTAGTGCAGTAGAAAAAATATCCAGTATCCCAAGGTTTGTTTGTGACATGTATCCTGCACTGTGTGCTGTTAGCGTCAGTTATTTGGAAAGTGCAATGTGAGTTTAAGTTAGGAAAGATTGTCAGTTTTGAGCTTGGTAGTGGCATGAAGAAAGATGTTATACTTGGGAACTTAACATCGAGCTTTCTGTAGTTCACTGACAATGTCAGAGGATGTAATTCGAAGATCTGAGATTTCAATTTCTCATGGGAACTCAATTATTTCTTTATTCCAAGCTGGTGACAGGTCAAATAACGTCCTTTCGTGGAAAATGTTACTACAACTAATATGAAAAGTAGCTCCACGATGTTCTTGACCACAAGACTATCTTCTTTTGGCAAGCTACAAGTATTTGCCTTCAATCCCCATCCAAATGCACTCAGGGGTATTGCTCTGTACAAAAAAAATAGCGAATGATCATGTCATAAATATTGTACATCTATTTATTTACTGGTTTCATATGAATTGTAATTATCTAATGATGCAAGCTTGTTTCCATGTCAGGTGGTGGTTCAAGAGAAACACACACTTTTTATAGCACAGGTATGTGCAACTGATTTGCATAACTTCCATTTTGGAATGTTTCACTTTGTTTAGAAGAATTGGTTTTTGTTTGTTGATCTGTCAGTCCAAAGCGATGGAGAACTTTTTGCAAGTGCTGTAATCGTGCAAATCATCATGCAAACTTAGTAGATTTCACTTTGTTTAGAAGAATTGGTTTTTGGGTGTTGATCTGTCTGTCCAAAGCTACGAAGAACTTTTTGCAAGTGCTGTAATCGTACAAATCATTATACATATCGAGAAGGTGTCACTTTGTCCTAAAAGAATTGGTTTTTGTTTGCTGATCTGTCTGTCCAAAGCTGAGAACTTTTTGCAAGTGCTGTAATCATGCCAATCATTATGCTCACTTAAAATGCATTTAGAGTTTTGAGTAGTTTAAAAGATGAACCAGTGATTTAACTGTCACTTTCTTTCCAACTCATTACTCTCGTTCTTCTTTGGAGCGGTTTACTCGACGACTTATTCTTGTTTTTTTCCTTAATATTACCAGATCATTGTAATAATCAAGCACATCCTGGAAAATAAACTTGGACATAAGGATTGTTTTCAGATGAGTGGCATTGATGCTATGATCCTGTCATTTGTAAGGTCAGTTTCAAAATTGTTGTCGCCTTGTTGTTCAAAGAAATTTTTTAAGAGAAGGTGAACTTTCATGCGACATGTGAGTCTCAGTATCACTACCAGGGGTAGTGATACTGGATAGATTTACTACTACCTTTCTTTATCATGAGCCTTTGTTGAATGCAATTTTAAAGTAAGAGAAGGTTTACTTTTCAGCCACAGGTATCACGCGTAAGTATGTAATTACCTGGGTGCCCCCCCCC